AGCAGATCTGCCCTTCAGGAAACATACACTTCAGGCAGCTACATTTTTTTTTGCTAGTCTTCTATAAGAGTGACCCCTATAGGTGATATAATTCAAGGATATTACAACAAGGCAGGGTCTGGTAGTTCTAAATCATTCTCCATTTTGATGCATTCGCCAACATTTTCAGCTTCTTAGCTTTTAAAGTCATTGTTAGGGTTGTTGTAAGGATTAAATGAGATAATATACGTAAAATAATTAGAATAGTCCTTGGCACATATGAAGAGCTGTTATTTTATTTTGTTGCACGAGCACTAGAATTTTCTATCTCTATATAGCATAGCTCGTCGCATGCCTATCTTCTTCCCTAATCTTGATTTCTGAACTAAATAATTTGGCATTTAAATGGCTGTTCCCTCCTCTTTTTCCACAGGTTCTTCTCACTCAGAGTAGAGACATGACTGTGGGGTCTTTCTGTGAATCCCACTGCTCCCACTCCCCAACAGTCATCACACTGTTGCCAATGCAGCTTTTTCTTTCTTCTGATTGTCTTCATCACGTTCTTGGCTGTTTCCTCTTGTTTCTCCCATTAATTTTTGTATCATGTACAAATAGCCTGACCTTTATTGACAGTGATTTTCCTTTTTTGCCAGGACATTAGTTAGATCTGGCTCTTATTTTGCTATGCTTATTTGTTTATTGGGTTCTTAGAGTTCTCTTTACTGGTAATATGTAGATAATATTATGTGTATATTAAATTTTTAATATATGGTTCACTTTTTTTTTCTCCTGGGAAGTGGGAGGGAGGAGTATTTAGATAATGCTTCCTAATTTGGCATTATTTCAGAAAGTTGGGCCATAATAATAATTATAAAGAAATAGTAACCACATCACTAGCACAAGGAGAGCAATAAAAATGAAAGCAACCATTTTGGTCTTTACTATGTGCCAGATGTTGGTCAGAGTGATTTACATGGATAATCTCAATTAAATTTCACAACACAACTGTGGCAGTAGATAATATTATGCTCACATTAGAGATCAGGAAATGGAGACGTGAAGAGTCAAGCCCCATGCTGAAAAGGCTCACAGACAGCAACGGCAGGGCTGTTCGACAGGCAGTTTGACTCTAGAACCATTACCCAGAGTGCAAGATGCCACTGTACCTCTAGTCCAGTCCTTCTACATCTGATAGAACCAAAGAGGTAATCACCATAAATTTTCTTCTTTCTTCTTTTTTTTTTTGGTGAGGAAGATTGGCCCTGAGTCAACACCTGTTGCCAATCTTCCTCTTTTTACTTGAGGAAGATTGTCCCTGAGCTAACATCTGTGCCAATCTTCCTCTATTTTGTTTATGGAATGCCTCTACAGCATGGCTTGATGAGCGGTGTGTAGGTCCGTGTCCGGGATCTGAACCCATGAACCCTGGGCCGCTGAAGTGAAGTGTGTGAACTTAACCACTATACCACCAGGCTGGCCATAAATTTTCTTTAAATTATTCAGCATAACACAGAGAGCATACATAGCACATTTCAATTGTTGGAGTCATCTGGGTTACTAGAATATTTCTTCTAGTATTATGAAATCCTAATATTATGAAACTCTAGTAGCTAAATCACTAAAGAACTAATGATCATACCTTATATTTTAAAGGTGAAACGATCTTTTAGAAAAAGATAGGTAAAATACTTCCAAATCACTAAAATATATATAATCTCATCCAGGACTCTAAGAACTTTTAATAGCTATAAGATGAGACTGATACAAGCAAAAATCACTGTTATTCATTAAGGATAACAGAATCTGGAGTATTTTGAAAATAATTTTAGATACTGTAGAAATTTTTATATTAAAAAAGACATATTGAAAAGACACCCACAGGTCAATAGACTCCCACAATTGAGTATACAAAATCATAAAATAATGGTGAAGCATTTTTCATAATGCCTTTAATATTTTATAATATATAGTAATCAGAATTTATCCTAATCTAGCCATAAGGAATCTATAGCATATTATATATCATTATCCATCATCATATTAGCAAGTTTCAAGTTAATAGCATATTATTATCTGGCTTCATATATGGAAGTCACATTATATTCAACAATCTAAAATTGAGTGAAGTGCCATTCACTTCACACGGGTAGAAATACCCATATGAAATAATACCTCGGTCATGGAAAATGGGTTCTAAAATCTTGTGGGAAAGACCATTCACCAGGGGACCCACAAAAACACAAAAAAGCTTTAATGCAATCTCCAATAGGCCCAATTGAAGCTAGAAAAGCAATGCTATATTTGGTGTTACACATGCCCTTACTTCTTTTTTAAAATAAAGAGTTTTTTTCTCCTCCAAGGTAACTTTGTTTCCCCCTCCTGCATTTCCATTCTTTTCTCCACTCTAACATGACGCTCTACTCTGATTGCTGGCGAGTCCTCTCAAGAACTGTTTCTGCCACATAAGCTTTTGATCTGAGAGGAGAGTAAGATAAAAATAACTCTCAAGTGCAATATTTCTCGAACTGTCTGAGGTGTAGGACCAGCTTTTTCCACTAATCCTTCCTGGACTGACAATTTAGCAAAATACAATAGTAATGTATTCCTAAAAGAATAAAATGAGAAAAGAAAAGACAGAGAGAGTGCCATTTCTTACAATTATTGTTTGATTTAACCAACATAAAATTTACTATTGACCTATTATGAAAGTTTCTAAACGCTTCATCTGCAATTTCCGTACTTGGCTCAGTAGGGACTGGTAACCAAGACGCCCAGGAACCACACATTAGGTAGCTCTCCTCTTGGAGAAGGTGCTCATCTGTTTCCCTGTGACCTTTAGCACCTGCGTCTCCTCAAGGAGACCCGGATGCCCAGTGCAGAATGGGACCTATCCTGGCGCCCTACTTCCCTCAGAGCTCCCGGAGGACTCCGCTCACAACTGTATCATTTGTTTGCTTGTCTACTGTCTCTCTCCTTGACAAGAATGCAACCTCTACGAGCAAAGAGACCTTGTTTGCTTTATCATCCGTTTTATTACTAGAGCCTAGGAGTATTAAATTCATTACTGAAGTCTCTTCATCACTTTTTATTCTTTTTATCTTTTTACTCAGCTGATATTCAGCACGTGTAGAAACGTAGTTCTTCTCCAGGGTGTTTGTTTTGGAATCAAGCACATAAGTAACATCCTTCTAAGACAGGGCTTTGTTATGTCAAAGGCAAAACCAAATCTAAAAAACATTAATACATCCAATAAAATTTTAGCTTCCTTACAGGAAAAAAAAAACCTTTAAAAACAATGAGTGGTGGGGCTGGCCCCGTGGCCGAGTGGTTAAGTTCGCGCGCTCCGCTGCAGGCGGCCCAGGGTTTCGTTGGTTTGAATCCTGGGCGCGGACATGGCACTGCTCATCAGGCCACGCTGAGGCAGCGTCCCACATGCCACAACTAGAAGGACCCACAACAAAGAATATACAACTATGTACCGGGGGGCTTTGGGGAGAAAAAGGAAAAAAATAAAATCTTTAAAAAAAAAAAAAAAAAAAACAATGAGTGGAAATATACCTAAAGAACATTACAAATGTTTAAGAATCTTATGATAGGAAATAATGAGACAAAGATGAACACCACCACGGAAGAAAAGAAAAAATGTTTATCTTCTCAATTTTTAAAAAATATGTATGAAAACAACAATAAAATATTGTACCTAACAAAACAATTTTTTAAAGTAAAATATTTAATGTGTTCACTCTAATACACAGCCCTTCCTTGTGTAAATATATAACAAATCCTTAAAAGACTCTAAAACAGTTTATCTAACAATTCCACACTTAAATTTACCCAAAGGAAATAATTAAGGAAGCATATAAGATATTTATAGCATTGTTCTAGATGTCCAGTAATACACAGGTTACTTAAATAAGATATATCTATTAAATCATGCAACCACTAAAAGGATCCTGCTGTGGAACAGAATTTATTGATGTGAAAAGATATTTACAACATATTTGTTAGCGAAAATAGCAGTTGCAATAGTATATTATATGATATGGTCCCATGCTGTATATCTAGAAGAATCTATATCAAAGTGATAATAATAAATGTATAGAATATTTGATTATAATTATTTTTATGTCTCTGTATTTTCTCATTTATCTGCCGCAAAGAAATATTTTTAACATAATGAAGAATAAGATAAAAGGGGCAAAGAAGATAAAAACTGCCAAAAGAATCTCTTCAATCAAAAAGTAGCCACAGTGATTTAATTCAACTATGGCTTGGCACTATTAAGAGGCTGAATATGATTTGTTAAACTGATCTGCAGTAAAACAAGATATTAGGAGAATGTTTAAATTATATGAGAACTATTTTCAAGTATTTTATAGACACATTTCCATGATAATCTGTTAATTACAGTGGTACCTATGTATTCCTGAAAACTGCTTTGATAACCTAAACTTTCAGCTGTTGTTCCATTTGACTTGCACTTATGTTTTGACTATAGTTTCAAAATCAGAACCCAGGGACCGGTAATTTAAAGCTGCATCTTGACGATGCATTGAGTGGCTGTCCAATTTGGTAGGTCATTTAGTCAACACACATTGCACACTCTAATTCTAGAGCTGTGATAATGAAAATGAAGAACACAGCCCTTTTAGAAGGGTTGGTTGGCCATACCAAGTGCCAGACTTTTTAGCATATATCGTACCACAACCTCTTACATCATTGACTTTCTTTTCATTCTTTTTTAATTGGTAGAAGCAAAGGCAGAAAACTTCAACTTCACAAGAATTTTAGCGTTTTTTGAAAAGAACTTGGGAGATCTTTCAGTCTAACCCCTTGATGTTATCAATCTGAAACTTTCCGCCCAGAGAGCAATGAAGTGAAGAAAATGGAACTAGAAGCAGATGTCTAGCCTCTATGCCCAGTCCACTTTCCACCATTATCCACTGCTTCCACAGAACATCAAATTCTACTTTAGAAAGCACAGGGTTAACGAAAAGAGCAATGTCAGCGTGCACACAGACCTTGCATCTGGTAGCTGTATGGTGCTTGTCCAGGTTGAGGGGTACCAAAGCTTGTGCCATAGCTGAGAAATCCTGTCTGTCCAGGCGACTGAGACTGTGACAATCCACCTTCAGTCTTGATGCCTGCCCACAATGCACCTAAATCAGTTAGTGATAGCTTATCTATTTGTTCATTTGCAAAAGCTGGTAAATATACAAAAACACTCCCACAGCTGTTCAGTCACAAACGCTTCCCAGGATTATTTCAGTAATCAAGGGAACACATGCTTAGAGTGAAATACCCCAAACTGTAACTTCTATTTTTTAAAAAAATAGGCTTATTACAGATTTGAAGGCCTATTCACGTTGTGCTTTGTTGCTGTTTTTTTGAATTCCATTTTCTATAAAATTTAATTCCAGTGATATCATTTCTATACTTACTTTTGTTGCTTTACAAGAGTTTAAGATCATCTCCTTTATAGTTAAGAAATGGTCAGAATTAAACTTTAGCTAAGCTATTCCAAAAGTTGCTATGTTGATTAGTGTCATAATTAGAACACTTTTTTCCAAAAATTATGATTGGGGTCTCCAGCCTCACAGAATTCTTTTCTTCTTTTTTTTTTTTCTTATTCTTTCTACCACAAAGCTGACTTTAGTACATAACTCATTTTGAAGTCAGAGGAAGCAATACTGGGCACAGAACTAAGCAACACAGGGGAAAAGTTTCTCCCAAATATCCAGATCCCACCAGAAAGCAAGCACAAAGGAAGCAGAATATTAAAGAAGTGAATCCTGTACAACCATAGTGATTTATACGCAAGTGAAGGTGACCAGAAGTTCCCTTTTGTCCCTGGTAGTTTCAAGTATTTATTCAAATATAATTGTTTGAAAAGTAGTCCGAATTACACTTTCTTTTTATCACGTTGTAATATAAAAATAATGTATTCCTGGCCCTAAATACTTTCCAAAGCACCAGGCTGACAACTCAACTCTGGGACTCGGGTTTGGCAGTGTTGCTGCACAGGCTCAGCCCTGGATCATAATTAAAGACAGCCATGAAAGTTAACAACTGTCCCTAATTCCCACAGAAGGAGGGGAAGAAAACTTCTGCCAAGGGAATTCACATTTTTGAATAATTTTACTTTGCACTTAAGATAAACGGTATCTTTGGGATCTAGACTACAGAGTAGTCTCACTGTTTATTTCCATTTTAGGGGAGTTTCATGAGCAGAATAAAGTTAGGTAACTTTCCGAAGGCAGTGGAAGAATCTGACTCTTGGCCGAGAAAGCCTACTCTAATTCCTGGAGTATCTCGAAATAACCTCACCATGACCTTAACATTAAGTCTTAACAGAACCTTAACATTTTAAAAAATATGACTTTCTCTCTACAGGCAATCAAGCCAATGAATAACCCACACATATAAATGGTCCCTGGAAAAACATCTGCCCAAGACAGGTGGCTTGATGGTTCTAGAAACTCCCTCTTGGTGATTTTTCCAGTAGGGATTTTCTCCCTTCTCTAGAGCATTTGAAGCTATAATGATCTGCTTCCAGTCTTCACCTGTGTCACCTCTGTTTTTAGCCTGGAGGTTCAAGATGGGAATCCTTGTGATAAGAACAGGTGAGGAAGGCAGGAAGAGGAAGCGAAATGTCCATAACCACACCTATCTCCATGGTTTCTACTCACAAGCTGGCAAACTCATCTCATTGGTCAACACCAAGCAGATCCACTGAAGAAAGAACAGTAGATCTCCTTCCCCACTTATCTATTCTTACTATGAAAAGATTTGCCTATCTTTTCTTACAGGATCTAAGTAAAAAGTCAGGGGGCACAAGTCCTTGGAGAAAGTCTTCTAACACCATCAGGACCTTGACTATCAGCAGTTAAAAATCTGAAACTATGTGGTCTGCCTTCATGGGCAAGCAATGGAGAGAAGGCTGCCGTATTTTTCAGTGCACTAGACCAAGAAAAATAGAATGCCTGGTCAGAAGCACTGGGGACATCTCCTTGTCAGGAAAACACTAAGGACTCAGAATTATTCCCAGGAGATTTATAAGTATGGAAGATCCTGGGATCAAAGCCCTTTACACTGAGCCTTACTCTCACCACCTCCTCAATCTCCATCTATCACATTAAAATCCCCATCCTCACTCTACTCCTTCTGATTCTATTCTCAGAACCTCTGCTCCTCTCACCCTCTGGAAACAGCCACTTCAGACAGCAGGGACATTCACTAACGATGAATGGCACCTTCCCATGGTAGCATTGGCAGATCTACAGTACTTTACTATTGTCTGCACTGGAAAATACATTTACACTTCAAATAATCAGCTTACAAATAAATTTTGAGAATATAAATTGGGGACTGCCTTAATCACATTAGAGAATTGAAGCTATGCAATTCGAATCATAGATCCTTTCTCCTCTTTTAGCGAAAGAGTAGTTTAAAACTAAATTACATACAAATTTGATTTATAGCTAATATTTATTTTGAGAACCCTTGAATAAGTTATAAAAATGAAAGATAATTTTAGAAAGTCCATTTTAAGGCTGTTTCTAAAGTCTGATTTAAAAATATCTAACTAGGTAACATTCAGTTCTGATAGTTTTGGAATAAAACTATAAAGAGTGAAGTCATATATAATTTAGATTTTAATTTCTATATGTTTTATAAGAAATTTATATATGGTCAATTTGGTTTGGGGTAAAGACAGAATGAAAAGGAATAAAGTAATTTACCCTCTAATTACTAATGAAATGCTCAAAGAACATTATTTCTTTCAATATACTGCAGAAAAGAATATTACAAAACAATAGTGGCAGCAGAAGCATAATTAGAATATTGGTAACAAAAATTCTGTGTAATTCTGTACTTATTCTACCAGTGCTTTCCTCAAACTTACATGTACTTTTTTTCGATCACTAGGTTTTGTTTTTTTCTTAATAGAATGCCAATAATCCCTATTTTTTTCAAACAAATCACAATTTGTTTACAATTACAATCGCAATTCAATTGAAGAAAAAGTATTTTGAAATTCTAAGATTTTTTAAAGTTAAACTTTGGGGTTTTGCTGGGTTCATTTTTAATTTACAGGTATTGACCCTGTAACAATGGAGTTAAATTACACCATGAGCTTTAAACATTTCCTGGTTTGTCTCTTTAAAGTGCGGCCCAAGCCCTGGTATATAGATCTCTTTTACTTTCTTTTTATTTTCTTTCTTTTTTTTTTTTTTTTGAGGAAGATTAGCCCTGAGCTAACTACTGCCAATCCTCCTTTTATTTGATGAGGAAGACTGGCCCTGCGCTAACACCCATGCCCATCTTCCTCTACTTTATATGTGGGACACCTACCACAGCATGGCTTTTTGCCAAGTGGTGCCATGTCCGCACCCGGGATCTGAACCTGCGAACACCGGGCCGCCAAGAAGCGGAACGTGTGAACTTAACCACTGTGCCACCGGGCCAGCCCTTAGATCTCTTTTTCTAATGGTTGATAATGCTGACATTTGATAATACTGCCACCTTCAAGTTGAGAGCAATAGTTTGTTGAATTCTGTGTATGCTTCCCTAATCATAGCTTGGCATCTGATAAATAGGAAATGAATCTTTACTCCAAAAGACTTCATTCACAGACATTTTATCACAAATATGCACCAAAATACTTTGGATTCCAGAGCCAAGTGCTCAAATGGCAATTTAAGAATTGAGATATAATTGGAAAAAAATAAGAGCAAGACAGCATACAAACCAAGCAATCAATTTGTCACCTCTGACCTCAAGATAAGTAACCCCTTGTTCTTATAATGCTCATTAGAAACAATCATATCAAAAATTTAGACGCAAAAGGTGATAACACTTTCTAAAGTGGCCCCAGACGACAGTTGGAGTGCCACTCCTGTGAAACATTCACACACCCAGGCACGCCCACTGGATAATGCCACCACTAACACAGCGGGATTACTCACCATAGGAGGAGATTCCGTAGGGCTGTCCTGGCTGTGGGTATGCGGCATACGCTGTAGCTTGTTGCATTCCTGTGGTAAACTGTGTTTGCCCATATGCAGCCATAGTTTGTGAGGAAGGGGTAGGGAGAATATGTGGGTATGGTCTGCTATTTGTCAGAAATGACAGAAAATAGAAAGCCCATGCATTAGATGGAAACATGCAAGGTAACTGAGTAACACCACATCACAAAATCCAGTTCAAGACTGTCTCTTCAAGTATAACTTTCCAACATAACATACCAAGTACTGAGACACTTCAGTGTCTCTACTAGGCGATGCTCAAAATAAATTTGCATAAATACATTGACGTCTGTACGAAATGCACTTTAGTTTAAATTAAGATGTAACATATGGGCACAGGACATAATTTGAAATCAGGTAAAAAGACTACTCAGAAAAGTTATTTATTGATTAAGAGAAAATACATCTTACTTGGAAGGGTAAATCTGTGGTGGGGAGAATTGATGAGTTGGTCTTGGGCTGAAGCTACTGCTCCCAATTGCTGGAAAAAAAATAATGCACAATAATCAAAGCAAAATATGTATAAAGCATTGAATAGTTTGAATGATAGTTTGACCACGTGAAATGGCAGATGTCTGACCCTTGTGGCCTGCAGAAATGGCAATTTCCTGTGGTCAGCCTAACAGAAAGTTAAACTATATTGAGGAAGCTATAGGAATGAATTAAGTGGTTCTAATTTTAAGTTAACTCTTAGAAAACATAGTCACAATCGTCTTAAATACCTGTTCGCATGTTGTGATCGGTTTTACAGTGGCGATACTTTAAGAGCACAGAGTCCTGGCTACTGTTTGGAAAGATACGCTGGGGGAGGGGGATGAAGTTGAAATGCAGGGCTGGGCAGGACCCGAAAGGTCTTCTGGCCTGTTGTTCACGCTCAACGAGAACACACACCTGAGACTATGGCCCGGAAACATGGTCTAATCTTCTCTCAGGTGAGGAAAACTAGGACCGATCCTCATTTGCCTGCACTGATTTAGCAAGGTTTTTTAGTAAAAATGCATTCCTGTAACTATCTTGAATTTCTCAAGTTGCAAGCTAAGCCTGTTTTTTCTTGTGCTGAGGCAGGCGCTCCTCTGTCTCTTAGTTACATGTGTTCAACGTCAGGGTCCAAGTACAAAGTTTTGTTTTTGTTTTTCTTAAAGAGGTTATTTAAGTGTTCAAGCAGAATTTCAGTTCTTTTTAATTGCACATACTTGATTCAACATGTCTCAGAAATGCACTCAACTCTCCTATCAAATGTTCTTCTATGTTCATTCTAAACTAAAGAAGCAAAAATTCATTTTTGCTAATATACGGCCACAAAATGGTAGCTCTCAGCTTCTTCCATTGTGAGTAAGGGCTATCTATCTATGTGTATATATACATCTACACACATTTACACTTATATTTGCATACATATATACCCACAGTTATCTATATATTTTTTTTCTTCCCTCAAACTCTCTCTATCCTCTATCTGGCTAAGATGCATATCCTTCAGGTACAATTGTTATAAGATGTTATATGCTTATTTTCTTTTTCCACTAATAATCACTTTCTTCAGAGGCTCTCTCATTTATTAACTGCATTCTGCATTAAAACCCTTCATAAGGTTCCATGCACTCTAAGTTTTACATATTTTTCATGATGACACACCAGTTCATTTATGATTCTCAAATTTTCCAGCTTGTGTCTGGGAGAAAGTGGTCGAGTTGAAGTAGAATCTCAAAACCTATGAACAATCCTTTCCTCGGCAAGCAAAGAGGCCGAACCCAGCAACAATATAAGAGGTCTGGATCGCCACTGCTCTTGCAGGCTGCTTGACTTCAGCCTTCTGGCCGTCAGTCTGGCAGAGACGAGTCCATATTAAAGAGATGGCAGGCCAACCTGGCTGGGGTCCCCCGTCTTTTGGCACACGTTGAGTCACTACTCTATTCCAGGCACTGATGCTGCAGATGCAAACATGCAAAGACAAGTCCTGTCTGTCACACGTGGGGAGGCCGCCACACAAACAGGAGTGGGAGGATTAGGCAAATACAGCAGTCTATAGAAGCGGGGGGTTAGCGAGAGAACACAGACTACCGCTTGCCCAGGTCATCTGCGACTACAACCTTTTCTACTCCCCTTTTCTAAGAGGCCAAGGGCAAAGGAGACTTCTCCAGCAAAGTTGCTGGAGAAGTAATATCTTCCCTGGACAACTGTAGTTAAAAATAAGCTTTAAGGGGGTCAGCCCTGTGGCCGAGTGGTTAAGTTCGCACGCTCAGCCTTGGCGGCCCAGAGCTTTGCCAGTTCGGATCCTGGGCGCAGACATGGCACCACTCCCCAGGCCATGTTGAGGTGGCGTCCCACATGCTACAACTAGAAGGACCCACAACTAGAATATACAAGTGTGTACTGGGGGGTATTTGGGTAGAAAAAGCAACAACAACAACAAAAAAGGAGATTGGCAACAGTTGTTAGCTCAGGTGCCAATCTTTAAAAAATAAATAAATAAATAAATAAATAAGCTACGAAAAAATGAAACTACAACAAAACCAAAATCCCAATGCCACCTGAGGATGGGAGACACAGAAATCCCTTTTATTCTTTTTTAGTTCTACCCCTGTGCTTTTCAAACTGAGGTCACAACCCACAGAAAGATCATGAACTCAGCTTAGCAGGTTGCACCCAGCAAGTTTTTACAAACAAACAGAAGGACAGAATAGATGGTATCAGGGTTATTACACAGGGTAAATTCTGGGAAGCTTTGATTTAGATTCTATGCATCGTGTATGTGTGTCCACATGAACAAAGAGATTTGGGAGGCTGCAGACTGTGATAATTAAGCACAGGTTCTGGAACCAGAATTTAATTTCAGCTCAGATTGAAGTTCCAACTTTTCTAGTTGGTCTTAGTCAAGCTATTTGATTCCTCTAAGCCTTGATATGTTCTTGTGTAAAATGACAGCAATACCGCTCCCTGCACTTCACAGGACTGCTGTGAAGACTAAAGGAGATAACTGACATAAAGTGCATAATACAATGTGCAATAAGTGTTTATTATTTTAGATTCCCAGATTCCTACTATCTTTGTCCCCAGAATTGCCCTTCCTTCTGTGTTTTTAATTCTACTCAATGGGCAGTATCACTATTTGTCCGGGAAAATGCTTAAAAGCAGGATTCTTTGCCCCATTTTACATATGGGGATAGAACTTAAAACGTCCACGCAAATAAATGGGAAAGCTGGTACGTGAACGCACGTCTGCCTGAGTCTTTCCACCAAAACATACTATCTCCTGACCTCCTACATAGAAACTAGACACCTCAAAATTATCCTGTTTTTTCACTCTATTTCATGACTCTCAAACCACCCATCCCAAATCCAGAAATTGCTTGTGGATCTGTCGTGCATACTCCATTCCCACTCTCCTGTCCTGGTCAGATCCTCATTTCGTCTCACCTGGACTACTGCCACAGCCATCTGGCTACTTTCCCTGTGTTCCATCCAGGGACAGCCAGCCATGCCCCTTGCCCTGTCACTCCTGCTACCACTGTGATCTTTCTTAAATGGAAACCTCTTTATGTCCATTTTCCAGCTTACAATCTCTGAACTGCACTCCCATTGTCCTTAAGAAGAATTCCAAAGTCCTTGGCAGAGTGTACAGAGGGAGTCAAGCTTCCACCCCAGCCGCCCCAGGGTTTAATAGTATGTAGCCTCGCCGAGACTCGAGGCCACCCTACACGCCGTGCATTGTCACGTCTGTCTTGGTTGTTCTTCATCCCAGAACCATCTGTCTTATGATGCTCTTCTTTCCCCTGCCTCACAAACACTTACTCCTCCGTGGGACTAAAGCATCATTTTCTCTTTAGGATAATGTCTTCCTTCTCGGTACTTTCTTGGGATGTGGTACACACTGGCACCTCAGCACTTACCACAATGCATCACGGTTAGTGTATGTAGCCTACAGATGCGAGTTTCCTCTGCTAACCAGCAGCTTCTGGGGCCAAGGACCTCCTACTCTCCTTTGTTTCCTTGGCACTTGGAGGTCCTGACATATGGTAGGTAATCAATAAACAGTATTTGTTCAACGGGAATGTGAGATTTCGGTCATAAGCAGAGTAGATTTTTTTAAACCATAATGACGTGAAGGATGGTTACATTATTTTGTTATTTATAAACATACATAAAGAACCTGATTCAGCTCTTTGGCAATATAAATTGGAGTGAATAGTGTTCCTTAAGAAATATGTGTGAATAAGAACCCAGGATGCTGCCCGAGCATCCTGCTCCTACCTACCTATGTGCACCTAAAATTAATGAATATTTAATGCATATAATAAGCCATATCTTTTGGGCTTTCTCTAAATCCAAATCCTTGCAATCTCTGTGTGGCCTAAAGTCAAGAAGCCTCCATCTTATACTCAGCTACTTTTTCTCTTACTTGCCTAAAACACCTTTACTTTTTAAAATAATAATCTAGAAACTCAGATTAGTCTTAATTTCACAGGACTAGAATCACCTAAAGCAAAAAGAATGCTCCCAGACCACTTACTGAGGTAAATAAAATGGTTATCTTATTAGTAAACTCTAAATTACACATTTCAGAGCTTTGGGAACATAAGGACAACTAATACCTTTATTTAAAACATAAAATGTGTTTTAGCATATTTGTTTCCTATTATTTCAGTCTTTCCCCTACTTCTAACATGTAAGTTAAAGCAGCTCCCCAAATCCTATTGTAGGAAGGGAGAGGAGACCCCACGATAAATGATATTCACAAGCTTGAGAAGCCGCTGGGAAGGTGAGTAGAAATCTCAGAGTTAGCCAGTCCTCAGTTCACCGCTCCCCAGACACCCATCTCACTGACGTCAGCCTCATTTCACTGGACAATCAGGAAAAAAGCCTAGAAGTAAGTTGTGATTCTTCTCTTTCCCTCAAACCCTTTAATCATGAGTCCAGTCAGCTCTCCCTTCAGAGATCCCAAATCTGACAACTTCTCACTTCCTCTCGTCTACCACCCTGTTCCAATCACCAACACTGTGGCCACCAGAGAACAGAAGTCTAGGACACTCCCACCTCACCTCACCTTCCTTTCCTCTCTCCTCCACTCCTTTCCCCTAAAAGAATCCCGGCACATTTATTCTTGCCTCAGTGGCTCTTCTAAGAAGGACATGGACTAACAACATAGCCATCTTTCATCTGAACCAGGGAAACGTTGATCTCCTTCCTTCTCCTTACCCTCTCCCCACTCTTCCCCCATACAGCATTTTCCACACGACCAACAGTGATCTCTTAAAAATATAAATTGGATCATGTCACAACGCCCCCTTGCCTTCAACTCCAATCCCCATTATCCTCCTATTACATTTAGATTAACCCAAACTTATTCCTTCACTTCATTATGATCTCTGCTCAGATGCCCTCTCCTCAGAGAGGCCTTCCCTCTAAAAGAGACCCCCACCTGCTCTTCCACTATATTCTCTGGTCAGCTTTCATTTTCTTCATAGCACTTTTCACTGCCTA